CTGATCTGCGAGGGAAAAATTCCCTCGCTGATAGTCGTCGCTGATACCTGGTTTTCTAGTAGTGAAATAATGTCGAAGATTTTGAAAAAATTGGTCTATTAGGTTTTTGGAAACAAAAGCAACCTCAATGCCCGGTTTTGGCATGCATAGCACGTGATATACTAACAATCCAAGCTAGTACCGTAGCTTCGGAGTCCGCTTTTTCTCTTAGTGGCAGGATCATTCCGATATGTCGGACAAGACTAAGCCTGGAGTCCGTGGAGTGTTGCATCTTTTTGAAGGATTACTTGGATAGCGTTGATAGAATTCAACATATGACATCGTTAGAGATGGAGGTTGAAGCGGTGGAAGAACAGGAAATCGCCATGGGACTAAGCACGCCACCAACTACCGATACTGACAGCACTTACTCACAATATGACGATGATGAGGAACTCGACATTGATGACTTTGATGACCAAGAGACTATTTAAAGAAATTCAAGAGACCAGAACTCTTCAAATCAATCCGACATGGGATAATGATGATTGATGAATAAGTGTATCTTCAAATAATTTTATAATGTATTTTTGTAAGACAATGTAATTTTAATTATAATAAAACGTATTTTTAAAGTGTATTTGAGTGACCCAATTAAAAAATTTATAATCTATTAAAAATATATATCATTAAAAAAATTAAAAAAAATATTTTTTAATGGTCGGGACCGGGATCGGCCAACCGTAACTGGTTATAACTCACCTTAACTGGGCTCAACATTTTCGACCGGTTACGATTGACGTTGTTGAGGCACGAGACCGGTAAGGACCTGCCCGGCTCAACCTAAGACCGGTTTTTGGCCATCACTATGCACAAGTAAACCAAGTTTTTATTGTACTTCGTACTTTTGTTGCATTATTAACGAAAAGAGAGAAAATATAGGAGAGATAATATTTATAAAATGCTCTCAATGTGTTTTTTTTTTAATATTTAAGATTTACATAATACACATGCCCTTTTTTAAATATTTGATTGAAATTACCAAATTTAACTCTGAATTAATATGATGTGTGATTTATGTTGTACTTTATTGTTATAACCGGGTATTGATTTATTTGATTGGAAAAGATTGCGGTAAGTTTTATGGCAACAAGTGTAAAATTTGTTTAAAATATCTTACACTTTCACCGCGTTTTATCCAAAGTTATATATATGTAATTATTTTTCTTTACTTCTATTTTTTGATAAGAAAAAGTTGGTGAAAAGCTATTTTCTTTTTCTAGGTTCGAAGAAACAGAAGTAGAAAAGAAGAAGAAATTGATTACGTGATTTTATCTGATTATTGTTGTTGTTTTAAAGTTTTCATCTACTTGTGTTCACAAGGTGAGTTGTTATTTAAAAGTTTCATTTGATATGTTTTTAATAAGGAACCGTATGATTTCATATTTGGGGTGTTTTTGAAATGATTATGTGTTATGCATTAGCATAATTTTGGTTTTTTGATATTTTATTATCAACTGATTGAAATAAGAGTGACATAATCGAGAGAGATGTATATTTTGTAATAAGGGTAGTATAATCAGGAGTTGGGTAAAATTTGTAACAAGGGTAACATAATTAAGAGAGCTAGGTAAATTTGTAATAAAAGTGACATAATCAGGAGTCAGGTATATTAGGATAAGGGTGGCATAATCAATTTTCTGGAAATGACGATCTTTTGATCATGGGTTATTGTTATCGCATCTTTATAATGCGATGAGATTGATTTTTATTGCATGTGTCTAATGCAATGAAATTAGGATGGATTCAAAGTGTTACTTTTATCGCATCCTTGTGATTCGACGAGTTGTGGCAATCGCATCCTTCTGATGCGACAAATTGGGGTTATTGCATCAATATGATGTGACAAAAAGAAGTGATCACATATGAATGATGCGAGGAAATGTGTTATCACATATGAATGATGCGAGGAAATGTGTTATCACATCTGAATGATGCGAGAAAATATGTTATCGCATCAAAAAATTATATTATATTTATGTGTTTTATGCGACAAAAGATTATATTATATTTATTGATGCGATGAAATGGAGTTGTCTCATCTATATGATGCGACAAAAGAAGGTTTGTTGTAATAAATACTATCATTTCAAATGTTGGCTTTCCAAAAAGTATTTTGATCATTTTCACCATGTAATAGTAATAAAAGGAATTACTCAATAGATCTTATGGTCTAACATTCGTTTTGTTTTCAAAAATATACATTACAGATCGGGCTCATGTGAAAGGTAAAATGAAGGGAAAGATGTGAAAGGAATTGTTAATGTTTTACATCAATGAATTTTTGGGAAGCTGAATTTATTCATGTACTTGAGAATTTGTTATATTCAAGCCATGTACTTAATGTGAACAAAATGTTTGTAGCTACTTTTTTATGTAACAATATATGTACATATAGGACCAGTGTTTAATTTTTGTATTTCATATTACATGAAATATATAAATTTTATGCAAATATGAAAATAAGGTGTTACATCCGCATATCTCACTCATCTTACAAATAGCAAAATTATCAAAATAAGTTCCACGATATTAATTATTTATATATTAATATAAATAATAATATTATATTATACACATTATATATTTTTTTAATATTTATTTTTATGACAAAGTTATTTAAATGATATTTTAAGGGAAATCTTATTATTATAAGTTTTGTTGTGTTATGTATTGTTTTAATTGTAAGGAATATAGGACAAAAATTAGTCTTCTCTTCTTCAATACAATCATTTTTATGTTATATAATATTTTTGGAATAACTTCAAAATTACATAACGAGTTATCTCATTTTAAATGATTAAGTCCTTGAACTATTTTTTTAAATGAAAAACACCATTAATTTTTTTTTAATGAAAAACCATTAAACTTTTTCATTTTTATTAATTAAATCCCTGGACATTTAAAAAAATAAATCATGCATTTTTAAAACTTGGTTATCTACATCATTTTAACTCAAAAAAATTACATTACTCAACTAGCAATAGTTCGATGGTTTGTTTATTTAAAAAATCAGGTTTAATCATTCAAAATGAGAAAGTTTAATGGTTTTTTTAATTAAAAAAATAGTTCCGAAACTTAATCATTCAAAATGAGAAATGTTTAATGGTTTTCTTCATTCAAAAATATAGTTTAAAGACTCAATCATTTAAAATGAGAAAGTTTGTTGAGTTTTTTTGGACTTTTCTCTAATTTTTCTATATAAATCAATATATTTGTCATTTGTGTATGTATTTGTAGGACATTAAATATGATTAAGTATATGTATATTAATTACATGGAATAATTTAATAAAAAGTAACAAAAAAAATACAATTGTTAGTATTATAAATATATATATATATATATATATATATGTTATTTTCCAATATTTATTTATTTTTTAAATATGTTATTAAAATTTATATAAATAATTAAAAAATCTAATTAAGAAGAGGTTGAAAAAAACGTGAATATAGATGCTTGAAAATGGTTTGGAAAAGTAGTCTGGTGTGGCAAGACTGCAAAACGTTTTAGCACAAATTATTATAATATTTTTATTGGAGTTGGTTATTATACAACTTTTGATATTTGTGTAACCAATATAACATAATTTCAATTGTCCATTTCATTTGATTAATATGTGATTTCATAAAAAATTTGATTGTTTTCTAATATAAAGTATTGATCATAATTAATGAACCATATTCATCTTCTATAAATATTCAAATCATAATAAATGAACTCTTATCATTTCCATAAATATCTCAATTTATTGGGTTGTATTGATTGTATAAATACGACGGGTTGTATTTGAAACAAACTCTATTTTTATTTTTAATAAAGCTTTGTTATGATATTATACTCACAAAAATATACAAGTCATTATTAAATTAAAATGATTTGAGAATAACTAATAAAATTAAGTCATTATTCTTTTATATTATATTTCATATAATTTTATTAATTATTTAAAATATATTATCTAAATTATACAATATTGTTGATATAACACATTAATGGAAATTAATTTTTAAATTGGTTTATAAATTACAGATATATCATAAATAATTACACTGATAGATGTAGGAATGATCTTACATGATTAACCTGCTAATATAAGATGATTTTGGTATATTATACCATTTTAGATTGTTATTTATTCATTTAACCAGCTATCTATATCATATTTTTCAGTATTTGAATACTACTGTATTTTTTAACCAGATTTTATATAAGATTGGTTAGAATTACCTATAATTAACCTTTTACTCGAAAATATTTTGAAATCTCTTTATCATGTTTCCTTTTAAACAATAAGAGTAGAATTATGACATTATTTTAATTATATTTGATTTTTTCCTATTTTTTAATTGACATATACATAAAATATATATGTATATATATATATATATATTTATCATATATGTGATAAGAAAATTAGCTTTTTTATTTTTAAAATATTATGAAAAAATGAAAATTAAAGTCAAACAATTTGGGAATTAATTTAGAAAAATATAAATAATTGGAAACTGGAACTCATTCAAACAGGAACCACCCACCTTACCCTGTATATATACATCCCCTTATTTCTTTCATTAACGGGCAACCTTCTCTCAGTTGCACTTCGTAGTATTACACACATACATATTCCGATACGACGGTTCTTCGCCGGAAAATATGGATGTTTTACAACTCCAAGGGCTATTACACCCTATGCCCATCCTATTTTACGTTGCACTCCCTCTCTTAACTTTCTTCCTTCTTTCCAGTTTTCGCCGGAAACCTCTTCCGCCGGGTCCAAGGGGGTGGCCGCTGATCGGGAACATGTTGATGATGGATCAACTAACCCATCGTGGTCTTGCTAGTTTGGCTGACAAATACGGCGGTCTGCTTCATCTCAAGATGGGCTTCAGCCATACAGTCGCTGTCTCGTCACCGGAAATGGCGAGACAAGTACTCCAGGTGCAAGATAACGTCTTTGCCAACCGTCCGGCCACCATCGCCATCACTTACCTCACCTACGACCGGGAAGACATGGCGTTCGCCAACTACGGTCCCTTCTGGCGCCAGATGCGTAAGCTTTGTGTCATGAAGCTATTCAGCCGGAAACGAGCGGAATCATGGGATTCCGTTCGGGATGAAGTTGTCTCCATGATCAAAATCACGGCGGCTAGTTCCGGCTCCGCCGTTAACCTTGGTGAGCTCGTGTTCGGGCTGACCCATGACATCATCTACCGAGCCGCTTTCGGGTCGATTTCCCATGAAGGAAAAGAAGAGTTCATCAGAATTCTTCAAGAATACACCAAGCTTTTTGGTGCTTTCAACTTGGCCGATTTCATTCCATGGCTAGGGTTTATCGACCCCGCCGGACTGAACACCCGATTACCAAAGGCCCGGGGTGAGTTAGACGGGTTCATCGATAAAATTATCGACGAGCACCTCCGGAAAGAGAAGAAAACCGGCGACGACGCCGACAACGATATGGTGGACGAGATGTTGGCGTTTTACAGTGAAGAAGGAAAGGTGAACGAAGGCGAGGATTTGCAGAACGCGATTAGGCTCACGCGAAACAATATCAAAGCCATTATTATGGTGAGTTATTTTTTAATATTTTATTTTTGTTAAAATACCAAAAATAACAAAGTTTATGATCATAAACATATTTATTAATTAATTAATTAATTAAATCATAACCGTGATGTTTGATTGGTTTGAGTTTGGCTCCAAATATCAAAGGTATTAGGAGGTCCAAGGTTCAAATCCAAGAAGGAATAAAAATTCTCTTATGGTCACGGAGGTTCAAATACGGTGACTCCGGGTTATCTGTAAAGTAGGTGGTCGTCCTAGGACTAGTCAGCTCGCATAGTGGGTTGTATATCCTGGTTAATAAAAAAAATATTATATATATATATTTTGCTTGAAATATAATCTAATGAATATAAATATGTGTTAATCCACAAATTAAGTAACGTTTCCCCTTATAAAAGACCTTTGATTTAGAGTCAATTTGGTAACATGTATAACAATTAAATGAAATCATAAATTCTATTTATTTATAAAAAAATTAAATATTTAATACATATTTTATATAAAAAAAATATTTAATGCAATTTATTTCTTTAGAAGCCGTAAAGTTAAGTGACCCCATTTCATTAAACTTTTTCTTCATTTTAATAATTAATGATTTTAATTTATTTTAAAATAATCATCAAAAAACAAAATTTATATAACAACCGATGTCATCTTCTTAATTTTGTTTTCACTTATAAAACAAATATTTAATGGTGAAGATCATGAATGATTCCATCTCCATGCTCTTGTTAACCCCAATTAATTGTCTTTTTTTTGGGTTTTTTTAATCTAATTAATTAATTTTGTGCTTATTTTATCCTTCAATTAGTATATTATTTTGAATAAAAACAGATTGTATTAGTTGAAATGGGCAAACATCCACAATCTTGATCAAGTCATCAAAATGGGATATCGATAGAATTATATATATATATATATATATATAGATTTGGGATCATATGAGAAAAGCATGTTTTCATGAGACTCGTGACACCAACTTTTTACATTTGAAACTTCATCGTGTTTTTTGTTGTGAAGGTTCAACTTTTTTAAACCTTCACAGTGTTTTTGCTGTGCAGTTTCACGTGTAAAAATATGGTTTCACGGGTCTAACGAAAACAGTCTGGTCTGACGTGAACCCAACCATATATATATATATATATATATATGAAAAGATGACATTAGTTTTGCTTAATAAAGAATTAACATTTGGTAAATTATGGCTTTCTTATAGGATGTGATGTTTGGTGGGACTGAAACCGTGGCTTCGGCGATCGAATGGGCTTTGACGGAGCTCATGCATACACCAGAAGCACTCAAACGTGCACAACAGGAGCTCGCCGATGTCGTTGGCCTTGACCGCCGTGTCGAAGAGTCTGATTTCGAGAAACTGACCTACTTCAAATGCATCATCAAAGAAACCCTCCGCCTCCACCCTCCCATCCCGGTCCTCCTCCACCAGTCATCGGAGGCCACAGAAGTCGCCGGCTACCACATCCCAAAGGGAACACGAGTCATGGTTAACGCATACGCCATCAACCGTGACAAGAACGCTTGGAAAGACCCCAACACATTCAACCCATCTCGATTCTTGGAAAATGGAGCTCCGGATTTCAAAGGAAGCAACTACGAGTTTCTTCCGTTTGGGTCTGGCCGGAGATCTTGCCCTGGGATGCAGCTTGGGTTGTATGCGATGGAGATGGCGGTGGCCCACCTCCTCCATTCGTTCACATGGCAGTTGCCGGACGGGATGAAGCCGAGCGAGATCGATATGACTGACGTGTTCGGACTCACGGCACCAAAGGCGACTCGGCTGGTGGCAGTGCCAACTCCTCGACTGTTATGCCCACTGTATTAATCGACGAAGGGTCGGATCTTGACTTCCGAGACACTGAAAAATTGTTGATGTTGCATGAACGAATTCGAATGGTTTTAAATTTTTTTTTCTTTTTTGTGGTCATGATTTTTTTTCGTAAAGCAAGATCGATATACAAAAAGATAAATAAAGATTTCAATTTCATGTACATTAATTCATAAACTCGATTTCAATTCCATATATTTTCATTCATAAACGATATCGATAGCTTTTGTTTTGAAAGGTACGTAGCGGAGCCATCCACATTGTACGGATAAGGCAAGTAGGTGGTATTCGGAGTTAAAAGTGCAAAGGCCTTTCTTTCTTGAAGGGGATGTTTGGTTCGGAAAATGAAGATGGTAGGTTGTATGGTTTAAGACGGATGGATACGTACCAAGTTAAGGAATAAATTATTTGAAACAATTTTATCATGTTAAATAATTTCATGACACTAAAATGAACAATGAAATTGATGGTTTTTACGGTTTGTATAAATGATATGGTTTGCAAAATATCCCTATCCCCCCTATCTCTCAATCTCTCTCTCTCTATATATATATATAGAGAGAGAGAGAGAGAGGGGGGGGGAGTGATCAAATACAAACCATTTAATTTGTACAAACCGTGCAAAGCTCATTCAACCAATCATAATTTTTTATTTTGTTAATTTTTTTTTGTAAATTTGAGAGGTTGATTAATCATTTTGATAATACAATTAAAATGAGAATATGGATAAAGAAAGAAAGAGGTTGTTAAATAATTTTATTAAATACAAAATAAGATTATTAAATTACTAATTTACTGTTTTTATTTTATTAAAAAATAATATTAATTATTGGAAGTGATTTGCTAATATTAAATCTCACGATTATGACAAGCTATCGAGTTCTTATTTTTTGAATATATATATATATATAGAGAGAGAGAGAGAGTTTACTTTGCGAACCACGTTATTTGTACAAATCGTACAAACTTCATTCAATCAATCATAATTTTTCATTTTGTTCATTTTTTTTGTAATTATGAGAGGTTGATTAATCATTTTTATTGTTGAGGGTGTTAATCATGGATCTTATCATCTTCATTATTTTAATTTTAGAGAAATAATGAAACAGTTTCATTAAAATTTAATTAAGTATTATATGAAACAATTTCATAACCATATATAAAACGACTTCATCAAAAAAAATATTATATGAAACAATTTCATAATAATTTTTTATAAGATTAAACAATGAAATCGACGGAATAAAATGGTTTGTATGATTTGTATAAATTGGGTAGTTTACATTTGATCGTTCATCTCTCTATGAGGGGATGTATAGTGTAACGTCAAAATTAAGAATTTGATTTATATTGAAAACTTGAGAATCAATCCATCGATTAGATGAAAAGTTATATTTCCAATGTTTTTTATATAGGTTGCAAGGCATATATGTAATTTCATAATTATGGAAAAAGTTATATCTCTTTTTTTTCCCTTAATTGTTTATGTAATTTACACTTGTATTCATTTACAAAATTAAAAAACTATAATTATTTTATTTATAAATTATTTTCAAGATTATTTAAATAACTTTAATATATCAAAATATGTAGTCAAAAATCAAGATGAGTGCATTTGACAATAAAATGGTAATCAAGACGGAAAAAAAGTGAGACGTTCAATCTGTTAAGAAGTAAGGCATAGTTCTAGGAGTTATAAAAACCAGAAGAAAGATGTTCTGGTGCATTAAAAACATAGTTTGTAGGTCACGAAAAGTTGCACGTAGGGTTTGAACTTTGAAGTTGAAAAATGGCTTCTGGTGCTGAAAAGTAGAAGTTTGTTACATTAATTGAGAAAAAAAAGTTTGTTACATTATATAGAAACTAAACCAAAGTTGTTACATTTTGTCCTAAAAAGTAAAAAACTAAAGTTAGAAGAAAGTTCGGTTTGTTCAAAGTCTCATTAACGTGGTTCAGATCTGGCAAGGTAAGATCGAACGTAGACTTGTGGTCTGGCTTGGTACAGGGCCGATTCATCTGAAAGAGGCAAGTCTTGTGGAAAAAAAATAGCGTACTTAAGAAAAATCTTTTATCATTTGTGGACGAATCCAGTTTTTGGTCTGGTCCAAGCTTTATACGATAAAAAAAATCTAATCCATAAAAGTAGGGGTGTAAAAAAATCATCAACCTGCGAAACCTGTCCAACCAAACCTGTTAACAACCCAATTAAACTCAACTTGTCAAACCGCCAACCCATCAAACTATCAATCCGTCAAACCTCCTAATTAGGAGGGTTGAAATTGGGTTAATAAAACTCAACCCAATCCAAACCGTCAACTCGCTGCTAATATATATTATTTCGATAGAACTATATATTTGTGTGTATGTGTATGTGTGTGTAATATTTACAGCAATTATATTTACAACCCAAAAAATATATACATATATAAGTTCAATTTACAACCCAAATCCTAAAAATTAATCCAAGTAGGCTAAGTCAAATTAATCCAAATAGGTCTAGCGTTCTATGAACTATCCAGTAGTCTATCTATACGCCTCAATTCCATTTCCCCCTTATTTTCTTAACAAGAGTGCACTGAAACGACTAGATCAAGCATTGCGTATGATGTCAATGATCGATATGCACTTTAATATATGATTCTCTCTTGCATAGATACTTTTGAAAGTTGGAACTACAAATGTTTACTGTTTAGAAGTTACTTTTATTCTTTATATAAATTTATGTTTTCGTTGTATAAATGAACATATAAATTTTGTTTCAAAATATAAATTTCAAACTAGAAGTATAAGCTTAAATGAACATACGAAGTATGTTTCAAACTAGAAGTTGGAACCATAATTTTTTTTGTTTTCACTACATAAAAGCTGTTATAAGTTTGTTTTTTATTGCATAAAGAAATCTCATGTTTCTTGTAGGTTGTAAGTTGTAACTTTGTATTTTTTTTTATTAATTCTATTTTCTGTATATAGGAGCAATGGAGAATACTACTAACTCCCCAAAAATCAGAAACAATGATAAACCATACACATCGAAGAAAAGGGGAGGTACAACCTCAAACGTTTGGGATCACTTTTCAAAAAAGGATTGTAGATGTGTTTGTAATTATTGTGAAAAAGACTATGTTTATCTTAATAAGAGAATTGGTAGAAATTTTTATATATTACTACCCGACAACCCACCCCCACCCCCTAACCCGTAAGGGTTGGGTGGGTTGGTTTATACTTTTGTATGGGTTGGGTTGGGTTGTAAAAATGTCAAAAACCGGCCAACCCAACCTACGTACATAATAGGGACAATGATTCGACCTTGTGTGGACCGGTGACTTCGTCACTGTTTATATCGCTTAAGAGATCCAAACAGGGGTTGACACAATCTTTACTAGGTGAGGTAAAGGCCTCTGGTTAAACCAAAATCTTAATGAAAAAGATAAAAATTTACCCTAATTTTCACTTTATTTACTTTAGGCAACTGTCCTAATCTTCAAGAGGCTTCGACGATCAATAAACTCATATACAAGTAAAATAAACAAAATAATAGTATAATGTAGTATTCATTTAACCAAAATAGTAAAAAATAAATAACTGAAAAACAACTGTTTAATCTGAAACCCGAATAACCCAAAATCGTTAAAAGAAAAATTACATCCGTAGGTGTGCACCAATCACCTGAATAAATGCCATCTAGTTGAAAACAAAGTTGATCCCCATGAAAACCAAATCACTTAAAAAAATTAAGAACTATATTATTAATTGGTTTGAATCTGACTAAACCCATGCAACCCCAAAACAGAAGAGAACCAAACCAACCATGTGATGTGGTTAGCCATGCATGTTTATGTAGTTTGATGGTTCTGACCAACAAGCCCTTGATTCGAACCAAGAGCCATGCATTTTACCACGAGGCTACCACCATGGTTCCTTTTCATCAACATGATGAAAAGAACTACACAAACAACCCTACAAACTACGAGAATTAGTTCATCATAATTAAACCTTTGAGCAAGTCTCAATGATGGGTATTAGCGATTTTGAAAACAGGATAATACCCATCAAGATCAAGCCGATCTAGTATCTCTCGGGTACCCCATAAATATGAAGAATGCCCCTCAATGGCTTCTGTAACGTCAACCTGCACAACGAATGATAATTTTTGCCATATTAGATCTTGAAGAACATGTAAAAAGCGTAATAACGAATATGAAACTTACGTTCTCAATTCCAGGAACATCCACCGGTTGAATTCCAGCTAATCCTTGACTAAGGAGACTGTTCAAGCATGGTAAGCATGTATGTAAGAATTTCGGATAACTATTACGCAGAGATACAGGTTTGTGAGATGTGAATATAAAAATTTGGAGATGCTAGAAGATGCAAGACACCTGAAGCGATCTCTTTGCATATATACAGCTCTAAAACCAAACCAATAGAAGAAGCAACCATGCATAGAATGCGAATTTCTAGACATACCCTCTACAGTTAACTGTCAAAACCTGTCAATTCTAGTCTATATATTCTATCTTCTTTCCCTCTTTTATCTACCCTTCAAAAAGATATTCGAATATGAGCACACGAGGAATCATGAAGCCAATAACCCATATAGCATCTAGACCGGGGGCTAGTAATATCCTAAGGATAATGTTAATGAACATCTAATCCGTTTCATATGTAGTTCATTTCCGTAAATTTCCAACTAACAAGGGGTAGGACCCTGCTTACCAAATGGGGTAATTTTCTTTTGTGTTTATGTAAGCAGGATGAATCTGTTTTCTTAAATCTTATGAATATTAAATGGGTATGTTCTAATTTTAAGCAAATATTTGCAGAATCATCAATGTTGAAACAGCAAGAATCCATCAAGCAAAATACAGCATGTCATAATTGGAATGCATGGAAGCACAATGATTCCACATAACGTGTACCTGGCACGGAAGGCTACTCCAAGCATCCAGTCGTTTGTTGAATAAGCATTTACCAATCTGCCAGAAACAACCTGCAAAGAACACATCTCCTTTTATATTTACGCAATGCCCGCTTAATGAAGTAACTTCATAGCAGTTGCGGCACATGATTTGACAATTTTCTGGTGTGGGAAAAGTCAAGCACCCAACAATTCGGGCCACACTACAACAAGATTGGCTTTATAGGACATCAGATATGTCTAAATGTCATAATAGACTACTTTACAAGACTCAAGTTTATAGAACCCATGTGCCTACGTAAAGACGTTAAAATAAGTTGATGGTCCGTTTTTTGGGTTCTAACAAGTTTCTTTAGGACACTTTTGAAATAAAACATCCTATTAGTCTTTTTATATGACGTTATTTGAGTCCTATAAATGCAAGTGTCATGTAAAAAGATGTGTTAATAATGATTTTTAGTACGGAGATTAACAAGAGAGAAAATACTTGACCTTCCTAACCGCTTCCCAATTTTCATCTTTTATAGCAACTGGTGCTCCAAGTAGAACAACTCTTTCTACAACTCCACCTGAAATAATACAAGAGATGCAAATTAGTATCTCTCAATCTACTAGAAACACTTAGAACAGCTTTTATGCGTTAAAAACAAGTGACGATTACTGTGATCAGTTTCAGCCAAATGTTGAAGACACTTGAAAATTGCCCGAGCTCCAAGTGAGAAACCTACTAGTGTCACAGGCCTGAAAGTTACGAGCACCAAATAATTAAATATTTTTAATTGTTCTTCTGAAACTCTTCAAGTAGATGGAATAACCTGATTTACTGTACCTGTTACCCTGCAATCCGTTGATTAACACTTCAGTCAGCAGCTTTCCAGCCTTGTCGGATCTGGTAGAGGAACAAAATTACATGTGGGATTCTCATGGAACTATGCAACACTACCTTCATTCTAAAATAAAATTAGCTTTATATGATGTAAAATATGTCTAAATGTCATAATAGACTAGTGTATAGGACTAGACAATTATGTGTCAAATATAAAGGTATAAGTTGATAAAACACTTTTGGGAGTCCTAACAAGTTTTTTAGGACACTATTAAAATAAAATGTCCTATTGGTCTTTCTACATGACATTTTCTGAAAAAGTGTCTTATAAAAATAAGTGTCTGGTAGAAAGATGTATTCTTAGGACACTTCGCAAACATGTTCTATAAAATAACTAGTAGGACAATTTACTTTCAAAAGTGTCCTACAAACTTGTTTGATGCCCAAATACGTGCTAACATCCTATTGTAACACCTTTCTATAGGTTGAACAATTGTTTGATCCTATAAACCTAAGTCTTATAAAGTAGTCTATTATTTTTAGACATGTTTGGCGTCCTATAAAGCCGACTTTGTTGTAGTGTAGCATCATGGTTTGATTTTTGTAGCCAAAATGGCCAAAATTTGATTTTTGTAGCCAAAATGGCCAAAAATATATCACAACAGTTTACGTTGGTGAGATCATGGAAGTTGTTGCTGATAACAGCATGAGTAGAAATCGGAGTAAGAACTCTTTTGTTCAGTTTTGAGTAAAAGTTAAAATGGGAATTCTGGTTTAGCATCCACCATTCGATTTTGAAAACAAGAAACTCTAATTTGGAATCCTGGAAGAGCAAAATAGCAAAAAATGAAAAACCTGTCCACAGCAATCGACCATTTGCTGTCAATGATATCCGTTATAGTCAGTAATGTTGCAGGCAAGGCTAAAGCGGCTACAAGAGAGCTTAACACTGTCATCATAGCACCTTGTTTCATCAATTCTAATGCAAGTTCTGCATCATATACTGATAATGAGAATATTGCCAGCTATAGTTATCGCTCAACCAATTAGAGTTTAAAAATTAAAGTAATTACTTGATGTAATAAAATCCTGGATTGCAGTGCTTACAGCAATCAGATGCTCAGATTCCCACTGTAGTGCATACCTGAATAATTGACTGAAAACTATCACTTTCTAATCTTTTTGATGTACTCATCTGTGCATAGCGTTGACACTAAGAACTATGAAATAGAAATAAAAGTAGAAGGGTAGAGACAATAAAAGAGATTTTCAGAATGTTATCCAAAGGCATATATACCTTTCTGAATGATCCGTTTGTCCTTCCCACGGCCTCAAAAAATCGTCCTCCTCAAAGACAAATCCTGAAACCATGATTTCAACTGCCAACCTCTGGGAATATAAGATTAAATGAGAAATATTTCCTCAAGAAACTGAAAAAATGGCTGAAAAAGAACTCACGCCTTGATTATGGTTTTCCCCAATGGCTTTGAACTCAAATTCATCCACACTTCCAGTCCTTTTGGCCATCTTAGTCCCTGTAAGTCCAGCTCCAGCAGCTGGATCAATAAAAGTGTGTCCTTTCAGTGACATTAATCCTCATAAAAGAAGACTAAAGGTCAAAGATTTTGAATTATGAGTTCTTGCACCCCATCAATGTAACTCAACAGCAGAAGCAACATGTGAAATACATATACCAATAGCAATTAACTTGTTTAACACCTTCCATGTGATCTTTCTAGAGATCACTGCCCACTAGGCTACGAATTTACCTTAGAAAAACAAACTATGAAATATGATTCTTTCATCACCTCCAAATGATGCGGCAACTGCAACAGAGCCTGCAACGCTCCCTGCAGCACTTGCAACAGCAGCAAATCCACCAGCTCCAATCACTGGGACAATGGTGCCCAATGTGGGAGCTAAAGCACCAACTCCTGAAGCAATTGCTGGAGCAGCTAAACCTGTTTGAAGATTGTAAACAGGTAATTTCTATGTATTGATTATGAGAGGATTAGATTATTATATCTAGAATTTAGAATCTAAGTAAAGAAAACATACTTCTACAAACAAGAAAGTGAAACTCTAATTTACTCAAGTTGGATCGAAGATGTTTCAGGGAATAGCTGACGGCTATCACAATATAGTATCAGTAAGTTGTGTGTAGTCATCCAAACTCTCTTACAAGTTTGTTTACCCACATCATTTTGCATGACACATTTTGACATGGCTCTATATCCGACTCCACACTCGAATGAAAGACATTGTGTCGTTTCTTGCTTTTCCAAGAAACTAGTTTATCTATGATGAGTACATAGTGCCTTGTAATTGATCTCCTGGAAATATGACCCACGGACCAATCTCCATTTTCCGATAGTGAGATTGAGTTGTTCATTTTACATTCCAATAGACCACACCCGGTGAGCATATCAAGAACATATTTGCGTTGAGATAGAAGAATACTTTATGGAGACCAGGATATTTCTATTATAAGAAACTAGCGAAGACGTCTAAAATCAGTATCTTGAAACTGAGACTATAGAAATTGTTTTGTTATGAACTGGTTAATGTTGAAGAAGAACAAGACAATTCCTAGAAATCAATGGTTGGATGCTTGTGATATAAAAAACAAAAGGAAGCTGGCATTCGAGAGGCTAGAACTCTCCTGTAACACCCGTGTCTTTACGGTTAATTGTTTAAGGGTGTAGATTTGTTTTAGCAAGTCATTCGATGTCCAGCCATTATTGAATGTTTGTGGCTTTTGAATCAAGAGTCATGATTGATTTGGGATGGAAAAAAGTTGTGTTGAACGTCATCCGAGGCATTGAGAGACCTCCCATGCAAGTTTGGTCACTCGAAAAATCAGCTTAAAAACGCAATAAAGTGCCAAGTTGGTTGCCAAGTGAGCTGAAGTCGCTTCAAAAGTCGCCCTCGACTATCCGGAAATCTGATTTTTGGACTCGGGCGACTTCCCACGCGAGTTAAACTCGCCCAGAAAGTCACGAGGAAGCCTGACCTGCACAAAGACCGGAAATTGTGGTTTTCCTCATTTTGGCCATAACTTGTTCATTTCTTACCCGATTTGAGCGACTTTTAAGGCTGTGATTTCGTCTTTGGAAGCTCTTTCAAATGGTAACAAAGATGATTAAATCTTACTTGATGATTTTAGAGTTCATAGAGGATGAAGGTAAGATCACATCTTTGTCTTTTGATTCTAGGGTTTGGTCCTTTCACACCAACAACTCTCATTCTCTCTTGAGTTCTATTTTGTGTATGTTTTGGGAGAAATGGAAGTGTTCTTGAGAGCTTTGTACCATAGATTTGGAGTTGTAGCATGAGGAAGCTGAATATTGGGTAAAACCTAGATTTAGCCTAAATCTAGCAAGGTGAATTCAAGTTGCTTTGTGAAAACTATGTACATGCCAAAATGTGTATTTTGAAGTAGTAATGTGTTTTACTTGATATTTATCAAATGTATAGGTTATTTGATGAGTTATGCGTATTTGGTATATTTGATTTTATAAATATTGTGAAACACTCTGTATTTGGGGTTTTTGGACACTTTGGTAAATAAATCCTGAGAGTGTGTCATTTTGATGATTATTTCATTACTAGAGATTGTTTGACACTATTGCACTCTTGGTGTCTTAGGTTTTATAAACCAAACTGGAAAATACACGAGATAGTGTTTTGAAGTATTTTGAAGATATAAATATCATGTCTTCATTTGGAAAATGTTAATGATGGGGTTTTGAGTTAATCATGCCTTTGGAGCATATATTTGCATAAACGTTGGTTAATTTATGTTTTATTTCTTTTGATGACTTTTATTGTATAGTTAATGGAGTTGTTGAGCTTTTGGCTTAGTTTTGACTCGAATGAGTCATGGGGACATTTGTCAAGTTTATTTTGCTCTATGTTGAACTTTTGGAGTTTATATGCAGTTATGGCATATTTATTGAGAATTACAAGTTTTGAGTGTGTTGGTCATTCAGTTGGAGTCATGTAATTATAGACTGTAATGCAATGGACCCATAAGCATAGGAGTCTGTTATGAACTAATCAATTGCAGGGAATATATGGGTTGCTATATTGATAATTGAAGAAGAAGGGGATGGGAAACAGAATACAGAAAGGTGATGGG